GGGACAGTCTGGGGGGGGGGTGGGCGTAGACGGAGCCCCCTCTGTGTACCTCCTCTGCCCCCCTCCTACACGCTCACTGTCTCCCTGCAGGGATCCTTGCATGACCCCCTGAAGGGCCCCAGGGCCCCCGGGAGAGGGGTCAGCAGGTGGCAGGGGGTCCTGTCCTGCCGGACGGTTAGGTGCCAGGCGATTCCTCAAGGAGCACACTTCTCCTTCCCTGGGCAGAGGCTGCTCAGCAGGATTCGAATTTGGGACGCTGGTGGCACATCCCACCGGCTGGAGGGTGCTCTGATCCAGAGCAGGCTATGGGCTCCGGGCTGTCCATCCCCTGGCTGTGGCTCTGAGGGCTGTGGGAGGAGATGAAGGTTTAGGGGAGACCGTGGAGCTGGGGTTTCTCTCCATTGCCATTGCCAGGGGCTGCTGCTTGGTGACAAACAGTTTCCTGTGTCTTCCAAAGCCCAGTGTTTGGTTTGTGTCTCTCCCAATTTTTAGGCCGCCACTTCTGTCAAACATAATTATATGCCTTGGAGATAATGAAAATACATATATACTTTGTAGAGAATGCACGTAATTCAGAGTGTTGTCCTCACGAGTTGATCCAAGCCCATGCTCCTTGGCCAACCATCTTTTGGAAACAGAATTTCTTTTTCCCAACCTTGCAAACCCCCAGCAAGGAGGCAGACATAACTCTTGGCATGTTCGCTTTGAAACTGGTAGAAGTTCCAACACCAGTCAGTCACTTTTGCACTAAGGCCTTGCAGGGGCAGCCAGAGGTGCCCCCCAGGGAAGCCGCTCTTCTGCCACAGGGCTGGGAGCAGATGCTGACGCCCGCGACCTTGGGCCCAGACAGCCTTAGATGGAGGAGTTTGAGGCAAAGGAGGAAGGACGATCCTTCTGAGGCAGATCAGAGGAGCCAGAGCGCCCCAGGCAGGGGAGCAAAGTCTATCTTTTTGCTGTGGAACCGCAGCCAGGACAGCCTTTTGCTCTTGCGCAAGCAACATGCTGAAGTCAGGGTTATCAGAGTAAGAGGCCGTCTGCATCCACACACGTGTGTGTGTTTGTGTGTGTGTGTGTGAGAGAGAGATGGCTGGGGGGTGAGGAAGAATGGACTCTCAATCCCCTCTCCAGGATTATAATGACCATGAAGCACAATCCTGTAGAAGGATCACAATGCAACACTAAGAATACTTACAGGGTTTTGAGGCTTTCCAGTCCTTTGAACATCTTATGCTGCACATTTTCCAAACGATTACTCGTGAAAAGTATTTCATTTACACCAGACGCTCCTTCGAAAGCTCCCTCTTCAATGTCTGTGATCTTATTGTTGCTAAAGTTTCTAAATAAAAATGGTTGAAACACAGAGTTCAAACAATTTCTTTCTCACAATGAGGGCCCCGAGACACATTTGATCCCTTCCTTCCATTGACCGTCTCCCAGCATCTCCAAGCTCTGCTCTGCCCAGCACTCCCGGGGCTCTGAGGAGGCACCACGGCTCGATCCCACCGAGCCAAAGTGACAAGAACACCAAGGGCTAATGTTTATGGTGAAAAGTACCAGCCTGGTCATTGTCAAAATGATCTGAATGGGTCCCCAGGAGCATAAAATTCTTGAGGTTGGATATCAAGTTGTGTAAACATTTGTTTGTCACAAAACTTAATGAGGAACTTTTCAAAGAAATGCCCCTGATTAAAAGTGTTGGGTGAATTAACAACTAAAAGAGGGCAACTGGGTAGGGAGGGGAATGGACTAAAGTGTGTCAGCGTTTAGACAGCATCAGAAATATACCTGAATATGAGTTTGTTCCCAGCGAAACTTCTCATGTAAAAATGTGTCAAAACAACCAACTTCACTGTCAGTATTTTGTGTGATATGCAATCCTACAATGTTTGCCCAGAGGGCAAGGCCATCCAGTTGAGGGAACACCTTTCTATGTGGTCCCTCTCTCTCTTTCTCACTGCTCATTCCAACACTGGGAACGTCCACAGAACAAGCATCGTTTTTATGCATCATTTTACCCCTCTCAGAGCACTGCCCATGGTAGCTGCTCAATAAATATGTATGGAATTGACAGGCATCTTATACTGGAAAGAAAGAGCAGTTTGTGTCAGAGGAACAGGACAATTAAGCAAGGAGAAACTCTCTGGGGGTCAAGTTCGCAGGAGGAGGTTCAGTCTTCTCTGCCTTGTATAGTCTGTGGGGCTGTGGGCCGGTTACATATATAAAAGCATGGATATCACAGAAGAATGCTCTTTCCCTCCTTCTGGTGTTGCCTCGTAAGTGGAGGGTGCTCCACTGGCCATATGCTCTTGGCCCCCATCCCGTTCCTCCCTCCTCACGGGGCTGGGGCGCTGTCTTTGAGTGTTGCTGAAACTGCTGAGCTTACAAAATTATTTTGAAATATGAGTTGTGGATATGTAGTAACACAGATGAGCTATCAAGCCAGTTTAGCAATCATTAATTTTGACTATCTCCTAATGAAAGTTTAATGAAGCAAAAAGTCAAATAGTTGACATGAATGTGCTGAAAGAGAAATAACAGCCTGGTTTGGGGAACAGGAAAGGAAGTTACAACACATTACTGAACCCACCCCTAATGTGCCGAGATGCTGGTCTCCTGCTGTGGTCACACAGGACCAGCTGTCTGAGTCACTGAAAGATGCCAGCACTCTGCTACGGAAATGGGGTTGGCATCATCTGACTACACAGGAGAATGCCAGTTACTCGGGTTCCTCTCAGAGATTACCCTAAATTCATGCCACAGGTAGTCACTGCATGGACATTTCTCTGGATCTTTTATATTTTCCAATTTCCAGACATAAATATTTCCAATCTAAATAAAACTGCACAGGGATGGGAAAAACACAACAAAACACAACAGAAACGCACAAAGGTGGCTAATGCACGGCTTACATTTTACGTAACTGAGGAAGTTTCTTGAAGATTCCCGTAGCTTCCAACACGGTGAATTCATTATTATTGAGACGCCTAAGGATAAAGAAAGGGCAAAGTTTCATCGTCAAGAGTCAAGAAGGGATTGCACTTTATTTCTCATACAGAGTGACAACATTACTCAGTGATGATCCTAAAGCAAAATAGGACACGTATCACAGATCTGTGGACAATACCCTTGTCCCTCAATATCCATGGAGGATCCATTCTGGGACCCCCACGGATACCAAAATCCACAGAAAATGATGACGTATTAGCATATAACCCACACACATCTTGCAATACACCTTAAAATCATTTCCAGTGCCTAGCTGGGCGTGGCTCAGCGGTTGAGCATCGACCTAGGATCCAGGCGATCAGGGTTCGATTCCCGGTCAGGGCGCATGCCCGGGTTTCGGGCTCCATCCCCAGTAGGGGGCGTGCAGGAGGCAGCCGATCAATGACTCTCTCATCATTGATGTTTCTCTCTCTCTCCCCCTCTCCTTTGCTCTCTCTGAAATCAATAAAGATATATTTAAAAAAATCATCTCTAGATTACTTATAAAACCTAATACAATGTAAATGCTACGTAAGGAGAGGTTGTATTGTTTAGAGCATAGTGAGAAGAAAACGTCTGTAGATGTTCCACGTTCAGGACAGGCCCCATCGCAGGCCTAACTCCTAACTACATAGGGCAGGTCAGCAACAACGTAACTTTTTTTTTTGATCCAAGGTTGTTTAAACGTGCAGATGCGGAACCGAGAATATGGAATGACAACTGTACTGAATTTTATCCCATTTCACTCAAATTTTAGTGATCAAAATAAAACATATAAGAAGCACATAGTAGAGAAAACCAATAATTGGTCATTAAATCCAGCTCTCATATCCCAAACTTCTTTCTTACTATTGCCCCTCCCCCAAGAAAGCATTTTAAACCATTTTTTCCTAATCACTTGCTCCATAATTTTTTTATTAAAGGTTTTCGTGACATACAATTTATATGCCATGAAGTTCATCCTTTTAAAGTATACAATTCAGTGGGGTTTAGTACATTCACAAAACTGTGCAACCGTTTTTGCTACCCAACGGCAGAATATATTCATCACCTAAAAAAAAGAAACCCCATACCCACTAGCAGTCACCCTCAACCTGTTCCCCTACTACCTCAGTTCTTGGCCACCACTAATTTACTTTCTGTTTCTACGGGTTTTCTTATTTGTACATTTCATATAAATGGAATCATACTAAGTGTGGCCTTCTGCATTTTTTTTCACTTTGAATAATGTTTACAAGGTTCATCCAAGTTTAGCAATTATCAGTACTTCATTCTTTTTTACAGCCAAATAATATTCCACTGTATGGACATACCACTTTTTGCTTATCCATTTATCAGTTGATGAAGATCTGGGTTGCTTCCACTTTTTGATTATTATAAATAATGCTGCTACAAACATCAGTGTACAAATTTTTCTGTGGATATATACTTCCAATTCTTACATATGTGTGAAATTGCTGGTCACATGGCAAATTGATGTTTAACTCTGAGAAATAGCCAAACTTTTTCCTAAAGGGGCTACCTTATTTTACAGTCCCAGCAGCAATGTATGAGGGGTCCAGTTTCTCTCACGTATTATTGTCTTTTTTTCTTCCCCCAATGGCCATTCTAATGGGTGTGAAGTGTTACCTCTTTGTGGTTTTATGTTTCCCTAATGCCTAATGATACTGAGAATATTTTCATGTGCTTACGAGCCATTTCTATATATTCTTTGGAGAAATGTCCATGCAAATAATTTGACTACTTTTTAGTTGGGTAATGTACACTTTTATTTTTTTATTTTATTGTTAAGTTGTAAGAATTCTTTATTTATTCTGGATATAAACCTTTTATCAGAAATATGGTTTGCAAATATTTTCTTACAAGTGCTGATTTTTTAAAAAATATAGTTTTCTTGATTTTAGAGAGAGAGGAAGGGAAAGGGAGAGAGAGATAGAAACAGCCATCGGCTGCCTCTTGCATGCCCCCTACTGGGGATCGAGCCTGCAACCCCAGGCATGTGCTCTGACCAGGAATCAAACCAGTGACTTCTTGGTGCATGGGTCGACGCTCAACCACTGAACCACATCGGCCAGGCACAAGTGCTGATTTTTAAATGTCTTATTTTTAAAATTAAAAAAAAATAAAAAAATATATATATTTTTTAATGTATCTTTATTGATTTCAGAAAGAGGAAAGGAGAGGGAGAGAGAGAGATAGAAACATCAATGATGAGAGAGTCATTGATCGGCTGCGTCCTGCACGCCCCCGACTGGGGATGGAGCCCGCAACCTGGGCATGTGCCCTGACTGGGAATCGAACCCCGATCGCCTGGATCCTAGGCCTACGCTCAGCCTCTGAGCCATGCCAGGCTGGACTAAATGTCTTATTTTGAAAAATTCTTAAAACACACCTATGACCTCTGCTGAAAAATAAATTAGATGCTAGTTTTTAATTCAATTCTTGATTGACAAGTGAGCTTACTTAACGTATTATCATGCCGGAAGATAGAGTTCGAATTATTGTTTGTAGTATTATTGGAAATAAGCATAACTCCCAACATGACTGTACAAACAGAGTTTGAGGCTTTGACTGCATGGTCTCCAGGCACTTCTAACAGTCCCGGCGCTATGAAACAGCTTTATGAACTAACAGGAATAAAACAGCATCACTATGATTACAGGGTAGTTAGTTTCTGCCATCTCTTTAAAAGCGTTACATTCTTTTTAATTATTCAAGTTGCTTAAATTCATTAAATAACAGGCATGAGTATAGAGACACAGTGGGAGATACACTATAAAACACAATCCCTGCCATCGAGGGGCTGTGATCTGGTTGAATACAAAAGGATTACACATGCACAGGAAGACACCAGCTATGCAAAGTGGGTAATGACAGATACCAGATGGTGCTACACATACACATGGCCACGGTGCTCGGAAATAATGCGATTTCACCAGTTTTTGCTTGGATTTTTAGAGCAGTAACATTAAATAAAATGTTATAAAAGCCAGTAAAGAAGGCAAACCGTACATGGGCATAGTACCTATAAATGATTCAACATTTTCACAGCTAGGATGTGCTAGGCCCTTTGTTAGGGTTATAAATATATATACGATCACACTCTGTCTTTTCTGCTTTTCCTGTTCTGCTACCCTTTGTGCTTTAATACTTGATAATCGCAGAATCCTTCGAGTCGCGAGGTAGTAAAGCAGATAAAAAAGACTCTTTTTGAACTCATAATGAACAGTCCAAATGGTGATTCTCAAACTACTTTGTTTGGTTGCTATAAAGACTAAATATGCTAAAAATCTATTAATTGTTCAAAAATGGATTTGAGCATAGATAATGCTTAAGAAAAAATATCAAATGAATGCTATTATCAGTAATATTACTTAGTGCTAACTGAACTTTTGAGAGGTAGGTTAATTTCTGTAATTGTATCTTGGGCCAGAAAGATGAAGTAAGATAGCCTTTAAAATATTCTTGGCCCTGGCAGGGTGGCTCAGGTGGCTGGAGAATCATCCCATACACCAAAAAGTTGTGGGGTAGGTTCCCGGTCAGGGCACATACCTAGGCTGCAGGTTCGATCCCCAGTCAGGGTACTTATGGGAGGCAACCGATCGATGTTTCTCTCTCACATCAATGTTTCTCTCTCCCCCTCTCAAATCAGTAAACATTCTCAGGTTAGGATTAATATATATATATTATATCTTGTGCATAGGAGAATTATGCCAATGCGTGTTAATTAAGATTAATGCAATTATTGAGAATCAAGGGCATGACAAAAACTCCAGTGCTTTGATCTTCTGTTTCCTCCCCCCGACCTGGCTTTGCAGGGAGAGGGACTTACAGTTCTGCCGTGTACTGGGGAATGTGGTCTGGGATTTTGGTGAGTTTCTGATTGGAGCAGTCGACTGTGGTTCCTTCGCAGCGGCACTTTTCCGGGCAAGCCAAGTCTGCAAAGCAGTCCCCACTTAATTTTGATCGGTAATCTTCTGTACCTATTGAGGATTCAAGCCGAGAAAAATAAAAAATAAAAGATACTGAGTCTAAAGGTTAGAACGCTTGTTAATTTGTAGGAAGGAAAAAGAAAGACAGCTATAGGTTATGCAGCAGGGAGACAACTTGGGGGGATTTGGTGAATGGATGTCAGGAGAGGGTTAAAACGAGGGCTTGGATTTGCTGGAAAAAAGAGTAACTAGTTTCACAGGACAGGAAAACATTAATAGAGATGAGCTTTTCACAGCTGTACTGTCTGCTGATCCAGTTCTGAGCCATGCTCGCCTATTTGACAGCTAATCACACAATGGCTATTAATTGTTAAAGATATTATTTTTTTTTTTCTCGGAGTGGAGAATTTAAACTGTATCCAGTCGTAAGCATATCCCTATATATCATTTTAAAATCAGGGCTTTCAAGGCAAATAGATGTACTCAGGTTTTTAAATTTGCTACGGTCTTTTCTTAATCTCTCCCTCTCACATGATCTTCAGACATGCCTAAAAAAGCCCTCTTTTCTCATTTTGATTTTATAAAGAGAGACAAGTAAATCCTGACTTAAGCCTCAGCAGCTTGCCATGCTGTAGAAAGCTGCGTGACGTTCCATGGTGCTTGACGGAACCATGTTTTACTCATACCTGGCAACCACATGGTTAGATCAAGCACAACAGAAAATCTCGCCACATAATCACTACACCATCCACTAGGCCAAGGGTAGGACGGAGAGGAGAGATGAAAGGAAGCAGGAGAGAAGCTACAGACGCTCCGGAGACGTAATACTGTTTACATGACATGCATTCGTCCTGCAGAATGTTTGTGACCATAGTAAGAGCATTACTGCCGAAGGCATCCTGGAAGCACAGGGAAGGGGCCTACGGAAGGCGCCCCCGCCGTTCCTCGGAACTGCAGAAGGCAAACGACAGCTTTCGGGAGCAACATCCAGGGGGAGGTTGGACGTGAGCTACACGGACAACAGAGAAGCTCAAAAGATCTGTGGTTTCTTCTTGGGGGGTCAAAAAAAAAAAAAAAGGTGCAAAAGACCGAGACTGGAAGGTACACCAGGATTGAAAAGCGGGATATTATGTTTCAGATCAGACGCTTTTACTTACAGCCCGAATGGTGAACTCCTGCAAAATTAAAGATCACCAAGAAGGAAAGAAAGACAGCAATCCCAATTAAGATTAATAGGCATTTATATGAAACTAACTGAGGTCTCTTTGTTCTTTCCTTACTGGGACAATGATCGGGGAATGGCATGGAATGATGGGAACTGCCATGCTTTGTAAACTTTTCTAATAATTTCCTGAAGCACAGTGGTCTTAGAGGAGAAGCAATGGCATACAAGATGCATAGCACAAATTAAGTTCTTGTCAATTCCTTTAAAAGATGAACTCCCTGCAAGATGGATTTTCTTTTGAGTTATCACTGTAATATCTAGAATGCCAGACAGGATGGGGGCAGGCGAGTAGACATGTGGAATTGAGTGAAGAACTAATCATGGAGATCTTCAAGGACTATCATTAGCACGTCTGGATTAATCCTTGGGTTGTGGCTTCCGTGCTTTTGAATGACCTTTCCAATTTATAAATAATGTCATTCAGTTAAAATGGAATCAGATAAAGAGTTTTTCGAAGCTGAATATAATAGTTTCATTACATTTGGAAATTAATGCCATGACATTTATTGAAAATCTGTTGTACTGTGGTTTAAGCTTTTGTTTTAAAATTAAAATGAGAAAATACTGGGAACACAGTCTAAATAGCAGGTACAAGAGGTATCTTACATTTAAAATAATCCACCTTCCATACAATGACAGTGATTCTTATTTTATGGTGGCTCTTTAGAGAGGCTCAAATTTTAATTAAAATCTGGAAATAAAGGGAGAGTAGAACCAAAGAATTTTTCCGAGTCCTGACTTTTGTAATTATTGTTTTGAATACTGTAAATTGAATTATCAGATATTGACAATTAAGGCATGATATCTGATATAAAAGGTATTTTCTGAAACCTATTTAGGCTGCTGTCAATAGAGTGGGCAAAAATGTATGAGAATTTATGAAAACAACCTGACTTTTGTTCTGTGTTTGATGAATTGAAAATATTAATTTCTAAATTATTAATGAATTATATTTAAAATAATATATTATGTAATGAAATAAATATTTAAAATAATATATTTAATGCCATAGTAAATAAGGAAGCATATTTAAATGTTAATAGATTGAATAATTTGGCAGAAATTATATTAACTGCTATAATTTGGAGCTTTAATTAATATCAATGTTTTATCCTATAGGTCTTCTGGTGTTTAGAACATAGCTTTTTTCTGGTTAAGTAGTAGCTATTGAATGGCTTTCTACTTAATAACTGTGTAAAAATCATGAGTTTTAAAGACTGCCAATGAAAGCCAATCATCCTGTGTTCAACATGTTACTTCTTATGCAGCCAGTGTGATATGTAAAATACTATTGATCATTCGAGCTCAAAATAAGTAATAAAACAAAATTTGTTAAATGCATAACATTATTCAGATCATAGCTCAAATATGGCAAGCAATACCTATCTCCTTAAAATAGAGACCAAACCCAGAGTTCTTTAGAATATAGGTATGGTTTTGCACACTAACTACAGACATGTTTTTACTCACAGTTATTAAAATACATTACAGTCTAGAATATACCCAAGATGTGGTACATGTGGCCAATCAGTTACCATTTAACATATATATTTTATATAATGGTTTAAAACAAACAAGTCAAGAGGCATTTTGCACAATTGGCAGGCAAGGAAAAAATAAGAAACATATTTCAAAGAGCTAGTTCTAGCATCATCAGCCTTGATAGTGTTAAGATTGGAGTGGTAAAACATTTCAATTACTTTTCGAAGAACTTTTCACTATTCATTCATTGGCCTAAATTATTCAAGGCACTTAGTGCTCCTGAACTTCTGATGCTTTCAGGAGGGATGTCAGTGCTGCTTTGGTGGAGTTACACCGTGACTCAGCTATGCAAGGGAGGGAAGTCACAGAGAAAATACAATTGCACGTGGATCAGCAGGAAGCTGCCGCTTTTGCATAAAAAGGTGAAGCAACAGTAGGCAAAGCCAAGCAAAAAGTAACAAACACCTTTTTAAGTATAAAAACTATAAAAAAGTAAACCTCCTGATTGAAAACCCCAATTGCGTTGGTAGCTGATTTCATGTGGAACTAGCTCTTTGTCAACAGAAAGATCTGTCTTTAAAACCAGCTCAATAAGCTTCATTTTAAAAACAGGTGGAAAGATTAGATATACAACGTAAGGGGAGAAAATGACTTAAGTAGGAAGCCGTAGGGTCAAACGTTTTAGCTACTGTGAGGAATTTTAAGTAATGTGCCAACGTGAGAGAGAGGTGAAAAAAGGTGGGCGTTTAATAAATATCGATATTGAACATTGGAAGCTGCATGCAAAGGTCAGGTGTTCGGGAAATAGCTACACGTCATCTACACAGAAGTAAATCTATCTACACAGTACCCACTGCACTTTCCAAAGCATGCATGTCAAGGTTTTAGAAGCTATATTTTATAAGGTGAGGAAAGGGTGTCTGCAGTTAGTCCTACTACCGAGCAAAACCTACCTGGAATGAAATACTGTTCTTTAGCTAAATAAAAAAAGAGAAAAAAAATAGAAGATGCACCTGAATGTCAGCAAGCAGAGATATGAGTTATATTAGATTAAGAATGGACTAAAGTTACTACAGATAATTAAGTGAAAATGTATATTTTCAGCAGGGGCTGAAGTATAACAGAACATCTAGAACCGTGGACAATAACCAGCTTGGTCTTGCTATTAGCCTTTTAGTACGAATTAACTGCCGGATGTGAAATACGCCTAGAACAGTTAGGCAGCACACTAGTCAAAACACACAGAATGTATTTTTTCATAAGAAAATAGTCAAGATTAGACCAAAGCAAACAGTAAGTGTCGATGAAGTGAGCTTTCTATTTAATATTAATACAAAGCATCTATATTAGCTTTCTATAAATAAATGTAGTATTCCTCGCATGTTAAAAGGTGGCCTTTTGGGAAAAAAAAAAAGTATCCTCATAGTCCTATCCTAAATAAGGGAAAGCAAAATAGGAAGACGGTATTCAGTAAGGGATTAGGAGATTTTCCCCGCCTTCTGAGCCTGAGCAAATCCTGTAACCAAGTCTCAGTTCATTTCCTGGAGCAATGAAAACGTGATTAATTACCTTAAGTTTCTCAATGGAGAGTAATACAACAAACATGAGACTTAACAGGCTTAAAAGGCACTGAGAGCTGACCAAGAGGCCCCTGTTAAGTTCGGACCCTGGGAATACAGATTGAAATATCCATGCATCTTTTTTCTTGGCCAGCAGCCTACTTCTTCTGCTTCAAATACTGTTAGAAAATGTTACACATAGGAGGGCTGTATGAATTGTGTTTACAGTTCCCTTTTATTTTTTTTCTATATGTATAGAAGACAAAGAAATAGGATTCTACAACGTTTGGTAATTCAGCCAAAGGCCAACTGTCCCTAGGTGTCCCGGAACCACTGTATTTGGTAACGCAGGGGAAATGTCACATGGGGTAAGAAATTACCTGAACAACGGAATTTCTTGCTTTTGATCTGTCCAATTCTTTTGTTTGCCAGGCGCCGGGGGCTGGTGCAGCGGGCACCGCTGGTCTCGATCGGGTTGGTGTGGAGATAATCCGCGAGCCACTTGAGATGACAGTCACAAATAAAGGGGTTCTGGGCCAAGTGCCTTTCAGAAACACACACAGAACGCTTTTATACGTGACTTGCAGGGAACTCAGCTGTCAAAGTCAGAGTGAAAACACAGGTCGGCAAATCTGATCCAAATCACACATACGTACATGGTCTGAATGGCCCGGAGAGGCGAGAAGGTCCCCTTCGCGATGGTCTGAAGCTTGTTGTCGTATAAGGAGAGAAGGTTCAGGTTGTGCAGATCCTGGAAAGCATCTACCCGAAGGCAGTTTATCTTGTTGGCATTCAATAATCTGTTTGATCAGATAGTTGTAGAATTAAAGTGCAGCATCTCCTTAACTTACCTTCAAGAGTCCGTCCCTGAGAAAACCCAATGAGAAATACATTTCTTTTCATCTCAACGTGAACATTGTAACTTTAACAATCCAGGTATCACAGGCTGACGATGTGGAGTTATACCAGGTAAAGCAAGGCCCATGCAGTCTAAGGAAAGACGAAATCTAGTGGTGCTTATACATTTATTTAATAAAAAGCGATTAAACATGTTTTCTAGAAGATGAAGAGGTGGTGCAGCAGGCGAAGGTGGGTGAAACCAGCCTCTGCAGTCAAGGGCGCCATAAGCGAAAGACAAATATTACATGATCTCGCTTATAAGTGGAATCTAAAGAACTTAATAAACTGATGAACAGAATAGATTCAATGACAGGGAAGCATAGATGAGGCTGACGAATGTCAGAGGGATGGAGGAGGGCGGGTGGGTGGAGGGGGAGAGAGTAACCAAAGAATTTATATGCAGATATGCACAACCCAAGGACATGGACAATGGTGGAGAGAGGCACTGGGGAGGGGGAAGGAACAGGGTGGAACGGGTCATTGGGAGAAAAAGGGACATCTGTGATATTTTAAACAATAATAAAATTAAAAACAAAACAAAACGGTACCACAGAACATTAGTCCATTCAGCTGCTCTGCGAAAAATAAGTTCAGTCTGTTCTCAAAACAGAAGACAGAGCAGGTCTTCTAAAGCATCTATCAGACCACGTCGCTCCTCTCTCAAAACCCTGCAACAACTCCCAATTTGCTCTGAATAAAACCCAAGTCCTGACAATAGCCAGTAACACCCAGTAAGATCTTCAGTGGCCCCTTCTGAACTTTGCAGCCTCCGAGTTCTGTCCTCAGGGCTGTTTCAGCCCCAGCCACACAGGCCTCCTTGCCAGACTCTTCTCTGCTCGGAACGTTCTCCCAGATGTGTCCCTGGTAAACTACTTCTGCTTCATTGAGTCAGCTCCAACCTTCGCTTCTCGATTCAGCCTACCCTGACCACTCTCTTACTGTCAGCCTGTTTGCCCCTCCCCGACTCCCAGCACCGTCAATTCATTTACTTTGATCTACTTTTTCTATTTCCTGAAGTACCTATTTCCACCTGTTACATGTGATTTACTTCCTATTATGTTGTTGCTGACTGTCATTGCATGTCCCTCTCCCCAAGGATATAAACTCCAGACAGCAGGGATATTTGTCTATTTTGTTTCCTGACGTTTCCCACGTGCCCAGCATGTACTAGGTGCTCAATTAACACTTGCTGTTGACTGTTACAGCCCTCTTGCAGAGTGACACGGTACATTACCTTTCTAAAGGCCCTCATCCTGCATCACAAATACCTATTTAACTTGGCTTAACACAATGTGCCACAGACTCATTTTTTTCTCACCGTGTATCAACATTCTACGTCCATGCTTTGCAGAACTGTGGTTTACAGATCATACACTGGCATTTTCATAGGTGACTCACCATTGGGAAGATACCTGCCCTGCTCTCCATGTTCCTCCAGCCTCCGCGGCCTATGAAGGCCTCAGAAAGCCCACCTTTTCTATAACACGGCTTCCACCCCACTAAAGTGTTCCTCCTCTCGATCCCAAAGGACATTCTGCAGTGCTGCTTTGTCTGGTCACCTAGGTCACAGAGGCCCCTTTTACCTGAATACAGTTTAGTCCTCTGTGGGCAGGTCATTTTTTCGATATTTCTTTTTCTCTATTGCCATTTAGCTCAGTGTTTTGACACTTAAGACTTTCACAAATGTTTAGTAGCTCAAAAAATATGTATATTATGCAGTTTGGGTCTGTATGCCTTATTATCTAACACTCTGAAAATGTTTTCCCGTTGACCACCAGAATCTCTAATTAACAAAGTATTTCTGTTTTACTTGCTTGCTTTCCAGGTGTTCCACGCGCAAGACTATGCCCTCCTCATGGAGATTTTCTTTGCTGCACTCTTTTATTTATTTATTTACTTATTTATTTTTTATTTCCCTCCAGGAGCTGACGTTTTGCCCTTCTCTGTGGTCTACATATACTTTCTTAAAAGCTCAGAGGCCTGGCGTGAAATAGAGACTGACGACTCCCATTCCTCCCCACTCTGGGTCACAGCACAAGCCCCACTGGCCTTGTTCCTAATTCATCAGCTACCCGAAGGAAGGAGCCCAGAACATCGGGGGCAAGGAGGAGGCGGTAGGCCTGGAAGACAACCGAAGGTGCTTTTCTGAGCATTTCGTACTTACTTTAAGCTTATGTGGTCCAAAAATTGGAGGAAAAGAATATTGGACAGTAATTTATTGAGTTCCTTCTATTTACCTACTTCTCCCCAACACCTCACCTGCTCAGGGAGAACTGGCTTAACCAAGTTCTCAGCAAGCTGTAGAGACAACCCTGTCTCTTGAGCCCTGGCCAGCTTCAGAATGGGCCTTAGTCTAGAGATAAAACATTAGGCTGAGGGGACGCGTACACCATCAGTCTGTTAACGATCTGCTAACTCTATTGCGAGGGTTAAAAAACAATTAAGTCCAAATAAAGTCATTAGGTAACAGAGATCAGTATTTGTCACAGCTCACTGGCTTGTTGGAGAGAGAGGGAATGGGGAGTCCTGGGCATAGCAAGGGTGAACGTTCGGGTAACAGTCTGATCATTTGTGTGGGTGCATGTGTAAAAACTGGGCTGTGCTATCAAATATGTATGTTATGAACATACACTGACCAAGGAAGAAAACATTTCTATATTTGGGAAGTTTGTGGAATTAGGAATAATTTTTGTTTTTACCAAACAAATGGTATAAACCCCAAGGCCAACAAATGCATACACCCGAGAGATAAAATAACATTCTAATTTGAATTCTTTTCATGTTAAGGATTTTTCAAGTTTCTTTTCAATTACAGTTTACATTCAATGTCATTTTATATTAGTTTCAGGTAGACAGACAGCATAGTGGTTGGACAGTCACATACTTTATGAAGTGGGCCCCCAGATGTTTGAGGTGCCCGCCTGGCACCACGCACGGCTCTGGCAACGTGATTGACTCTATTTCCGAGGCCGTGCTCTACGTTGTCACGACTATTTTGTAACTGCCCATCTCGGCTTCTGGATGCCTTCATTTTTTTCCTCTCAGCCCCCATACTCCCTCTGCTGTTTTCTGTGCCCATGAGTCTGTCCCTGCTTTGTCGGTTCACATATATTGTTCTTCAGAGTCCGCATGCAAGTGAAATCATAAATTTAAAAATTCTAAAGTAGCCTGACTATAAACTAGTTGAGAGAAATAATCACATCACACTCGCCTTTGCGGCCACTATGTGCCCTAAATGAGGCAGGTGCTCTACATGTGCTTGGTGATTGGAACAGAATTTGGTGAGCCAACACTCACAATCTTAATAGTAGCCTATTTTTCCAATTTCCTTCTCATATAAGCAAGCATTAAAACACCTGGGGTCAAGCCTCCGTCTTATAAATATGTATAGTAAGTAGTCTTTTTGAGGCAAAGGGAAGTAGCTATTGTCTAAGCAGAGTGGTCTTTAAAGATGTAATCCGGGATTTGCAGCTAAATCTCTCACTAAAGATCAGTTTGAGCGCCACCGCTATGTCCTGGCCTCCTGCACACCATCTTTGTGCCGGAGGGGCTGTTAGTCCAGCACTGTCACTCTCTCAGGGTCTCTGCACAAAGGTGGATAAACATATCACTATGTCTCTCTCCTTTCCAACTGTTGTTAAATCAAACCAGAGAAGTTTCACAAAGGGCAGGGGTTATAAAAGCTTTAAATGACAGAGCAGACAGGATGCATATATTCATGACAGTGTGAGGGAAAGGTTTGAGGACAACTTCAAAGTGTTGTGTCTTCAAATAAATAACCGTCGAGAATGTCAGCTCCACCAGGGTAATCTTTTCCATTTCATTAAACTATGTCATTTTGGGTCAACTTTTTCTGAAAACTCCATGAAAATATAAGATGGTACACTGACTGAAATATAATGTTTGGTTCAATGGATCAGAAACAATCAAATACTTACAGTAGCTGTAAGGAAAATAATCCTTCAAATAAACTTTTTGGGAGTTCTGTGATTTTATTTCCATACAGAACACTGAAAAAAAAAAAAAAAAGGAATTTATATGAAATAAAAATCAGACACCAAACCAGCACAGCAAATTAATCCAACACATGTGTACTCAGGCATAGGAGGTTAGTAAGCCTCTACACAGATGGGTGCTTATGACAGGGAGTTTGGAAAATATTGAAAAACAAGAAAAAAATCAACAAAATGAACACAGTTCATATTTTTTTTTGCCCTACCACAGAATTGTCCACTGCTAAATTGCCATATTTTTTACACATGCACATGGACACACACACACACAGAGTTCAAAGGTAATGTTACTGTACGTAACAAAAGTGAACACTAAATTTGGAATCCATTGCTCACTGAAGGGACAAGTTTTGGGCTTATCATATTGGTAAATAGTGAAAGGAATCCATGTTTTAGCCATATAATGTGTATCCTTGAGAAATGTAAGATCTGTGAAGCCAGTAATCGTTAATATTAATACAGAAGAGTTTTTAAAAATTTATGTTTCCCAAAGAAATATAAACAGAAACGCGTCCTCACGGTGCCCACTTCTGATCAGCCACTAAGTGCGAGCACCGTGACTTGATCCCCTCGGTACACCTGGCGCCCAGCATGGGTTTTGGTCCACAGTGACGTTCTATACTGGATTGAGGTGAACTCTGATGAGTGAAATGAAGGAATTAGCGGTGGAACCAATTAACAAATACATTTTTTAAACAGGTGAAACGAAGGTATTTCAACTGCAAATGAATGGGAGCTCCTCATGTCAATTATTAACAACAGGTCTGTAATGCTGCCTATCTATTTTTAGCCCCCAAAAGTAGGGGACCACAATCATGTGTAGGAAAAGATAGAAATCATATTTTAGGAGGACAGAGAGAAATCTGTATTGTCAGGGTAAAGAAGGTAAGGGAACTAAGAAAGGGTAAAGCAAGAATAAATGTGTTTTAGGGTCTAGAATAAGAAAAGAGGGAGGTTTAGGGACACAAATGAGCAGATCACAGCATCAGCTGAGGATACACAACTCAGTACTGTTCCACCAGTTCATTCAACAGTCGCTGCTGTACATCTGCTGTGGGCCAGGAACGCGGCTGGGTTCTACGCTTGGTGCCCGGTTACACTGAATCCAGCTGTTACTTCTGAATGTTTATCATCTGTGCATGTCCCAGGCACTGACACGACAGGTGAAAAAGTACAGCTTCAACGAGCAAGCCAAAAGAACAGTTTTGAATACTGAAGGCATTTCATACTTTGAATCCAATGAGAATTAAAACAGAAATATAATGCATATAAATAGTGGGAGGCCCATATAAGAATTTAGGAGCAAAAATTTGGTAGGTTGTTTATTTGGGACTTTTGCTTCAAAGGCAGGCTCAAATGAAAGGGGGACTAGCTAGGAGGTGTGTCATATTTGCACTGTGAAACTATTTTTTTTCCAACAAATCATTCTGGGTTTTTTTTTTCAGATCATGTTAAAAAAGAGATGTTTATTGTGCATGAGGCAGTTTGGGTTCATGGAATTAAAAGGAGGTCACACAAGGATGAAGGAAATCTATCTGTGTAGGCAACACTGGGTACATGGACTGAAAATCATGAAAACGTCATAGTAAAGAAACACTAAATAGGATGCGAATGAGATTTCTCTACGAAAAGGTATAGCAATACTAGAGCTGTGTATATTTTTCTTACATACAACATGATCAACATGATAGCAAAGAAAAATAAGTTAAAATATAAAAAAATCCAAAGACCAGGAATGAGACGTTCAGTGACAGTCAGAAAATGGGTCCAAAATCTATAAAAAATGAGGGAAAGATGTGTCATCACATAAAGATAGTAGGATACAACAACGCTGGTGGCCAGGCTTTGAATTCTCCTAACCTGTTGGAAGCGAGAACTCCTACTGAAGACAAAAATATCCAAAACAGGAACCTATTACGATGGCTACCACGTAAAAGGTGCTATGGGTAGGCTTTATTACCTAAACTCAGCAGTACCTTGGTTTTCAAATGTGATCTGTTCCAGAAAACCGTTCAAGGTCTGAAATGGTCAAAAACCGAGGGATCCACAGCCGCCAGCTGGGCCTCAGGATCTTGCCCTCAGCAGAAGCCGTGTGGCCTGTTTGACTTCTGAGGTTTGTTTGAAAACTGAAGCATTTATTCTGGGTTTACTGCGTTCGTAAACCGAAACATTCGAAAACCGAGGTACCACCGTATATGGGAGAGAGCTGTACTTATAAATTAAAAACAACGTACGTCTGAGAATTTTAAAAGACAGTATAGTAGAGAGAAAGCAGAAGTTGCTACATTTTCATTGCAAACCATAGTAAAATGCAAGGTACGGAGCAGGAGTCCTAGGAGAGACTGTAGGAAGCGTAAATACGGCAATCGGAATCCAAATACAACAACCTTTCACTGCAGGCCCGGTGGAATTGGGGAGCTTGTTAGTGAAGAGAGGTAATTAGAACAAGTGAGCTACAATCATCTGCAAGGGGTTAATAAAAATGGGGAGAGAGGAAAATGATATGTTGAGGATATGGGGCATAAAAATTCTCTGGGGTAATTACAATACAGAAATATATAAATTGGTAAGTATCAAAAAAAAGTGTCAAGGCCACATCTGTCATCTCTTGAATTCTTTACTCTGTTTTAACAAAGCCAGCAGGGGAGTAATCCTGTCCCCACTTCAGAGACAGGACAACTGAGGCACAGGGAACTCAGAATTCTCCAGCCACTTCTCTTCTGACATGTAGTGATTCCTTGAGGCACAGACACCTGAAGGGCCAGGGATTGGCATCCTCACTCGACTTCTGTGCTGTCCTTTTCTATGGCTCGGAGGGTGTCTATATTGGATAATATTATTGTCCAGAATGATATACACAGTGCCTTACGGACAAATTTGGGGATTTAACAGAATTTTATATTAAACTTTGTTATTTTAGAATCTGACAGCCCAGCCTGAGTGCGATACATGACTACATTCTACGTCTTCTGCTACCAATTGTTCCCCTAGCCTTGGACTTTCTCGAGTAAAAACAAACAAACAAACAAACAAAAACAATGATGAACCTAAGCACATACTGCAGAAGTAATAGTTTTTTATTTTCTTTCTTCAAAGAAAATTGTAGTTTTCTGAGCAGACCAGGCTCGCAACCTGAACACCCATGTGCCCAGATGAGCGCGTGTGCCTTGTCCTCGCCTTGGTACAGTGAGTGTAAACTGGCATATAGACCCCGGTATTTATCTGGGTTTTGCACGTGTATCCTGGAACTCTCACCGGCTCTCACTGACTTCTGAAATTCCTAAGAGCTCTGCAGGAATTTCCATCAATAGGAACCATTCCCTAAGCATCACCTCTTTAAAAATGCATGCAAGCCTCCATTTAGAAACTTTAAAGTTAAAATTTGAAATAAAGGTAGTTTACTGACAGACTTCTGAAAATTTTTACAAGTTTAAAGGAATCATGGAGTTTAGCCATTTATTTTAGAACCACTTTAGCTATCTCCCTGAAAGTCCTTTTGATGTTAAAAAGCTGTAACACGTTCTTATCTCTGTACCGTCAGGGATTCTTTCGGGGGCTCTTAAGGTGGTAAAGCAGGGAGTTGAGGGGTCTCCCACTGGCCACCTTCCACTGTTCTCTGCAAGACTTTACCCGGCATCCTTCTAAAGGGGACCGGCATGGTCCCCAGAGACTGTGGCTATCAACTTAAGGATTATAAACACAACATTGACCACAGAACTCCAAAACAAACATTTTCCCTTTAGTCTAGGAACAAAAATGACCCCAAAAAGAGGCTCTTACCCTTGCACTCAAAACAACAAAATTATGAAGTCCTAAAATATATACCACTATAATTGGCTGATTTTAGTGACAGCATCCTCAATGAAAACAATAGAATTTATTAATGATTAGTAATAATGAATATTATAAATAATTTGCAATATAAAAACTTAAAGAATAATTTTACAAAATCCAAATGAAAAGACGGAGCCACGACTAGCTGTGTGTCGTGCTTCGCTTCAGTGCTGCGTCAGTACTCACAGTGAATTCAGAGAGCGCAGTCCTTGGAAAGCATCTGGTGCTAGTTCAGAGATCTGATTATTGCTCAGGTCTCTAAGATTAGAAATAGGGTTAGGTTAAATTCAATAGGATGGCAGTGAGATTTACTGCAGGAGAAAGCTATTTATTGCCCTTACATGTTCATTTTGCCCCTATCAATACACGTGTAAAGCTTGTAACATAAAACATCTGAAGTATCCTAAATTAAAAAAACACCACCCCCCTTTTTAATTAATTATTGACTATTTTCTTAAATTATTATAAAAGATGCTAGGTCTTATTTTTGAAAACAGAACATCTAAGACTTGAATGTATACCATATTAAGTCACATACATTACAGAGGACTTTAAAATATTACATAGTGTAGCTATTAACATTACACACAGGTATCCCCCCAAAAATGTATACACACTTTAACAGCTGATAGCTCAATTTTGAAAAAGAAATGTTTTGTCTTTTTTTAAATATCTTTATTGATTTCAGAGGGAGGAAGGGAGAGGGAGAGAGAAACATCAGTGATGAGAGAGTCATTGATCGGCTGCCTCCTGCACGCCCCCTGCTAGGCATCGAGCCCCCAACCCGAGCATGTGCCCTGACTGGGAATCGAACCACGATCTCCTGGATCCTAGGTTGATGCTCAACCACTGAGCACCGCCCGGCCAGGTGAAAACAAAATGTATTTTAATAAACGCTGCCTTTATAATTATCCAAAGTGTGTGTATACATTTTGGGGTGACATTGTATATTATAGAACTAGAATCAAACAGTCACATCACTTAATATTTCAGCTGTCAAACACCTAAATATTCATACTTAAATGTGTATCTTTGCATAGTCCTGACCCGTAAAATTTTAAAAATTACACATATCTAAGAATATTTCCCACTCACATTCTTCGAAGCTTTTTGTATGGCGAGAAAGCCCCGGGAGGGATGACCTTGATGGAGTTCTGCTCCAGACGTCTGCAATACAAAAAATCATTTATTAAATGGAAACATGAGCTCTCAGGTGTGTTTAATCCAAGCCCAGGATGCACGTCAAGGGGCAAAGCTGATTCACTTCATGAGTAACATTTTCTTTTTTCTCAAAAATGACCACTCAGACTAATTGTTCTGTGCCTTAAATGTGGAGCAAGATGAAGAATGAAAACAGGGCAATTATAAAAATAATAAAAAAATCCCAATTTGTAGGCATTACATGTCCATTAGTATTTAAGACTGGACTTTGTACAAAGGAGAAAGTACCTGGAAGAAGCTAATTCGGGAGTACATTTTAATAACCCTATTTCAGTAAGAGAAATATGCAATAACACTGAATAGAGATATAACATGTTTTAGAGATAATTATAAGTCTTCCGCAAAGGACATTATTGTTGAATATTAAACCTTATAAACCCTTTATGTCCTCTACAGAAAGTGTATGATAGGTTGAAAAAATAACTGTTATACTCAGAAAATTAATTTTGAAGGTTCCTCTTAAGCAAAATCTTAATTCTAAATCCTTAAGTGCGCCAGGCATTTTCAGTAAGGCTGCCTGGACTCTGATTTACTATGTGAATATTTCATGTGAAAACCCCTGCCGCCAAGTGCATTAAACACAACTGAAGTATTTTTATGATGCACTAAAATCAGACAGTTGAAAATAACTCTCATATTTTCCACTCTGTGGTTCTGCTATCAGAGAAAGACAAGATTTGACCCACCTAGTTACGAAAGAGACAAAGAAACAGATTTCATTAAATGTTTTCGTGGATATTTTAGTCCATCAAAAATGCTGCCTCTCAGCTTCACGCCTCCCCACAGAAATACCCCACGAGAGCTCCAGGCCCTGGCCTCCGGCCTCTGCTCCGTGTCCGCAGAGCTGGCTGTGGTGTCCCCGCGCCCGCGCTCCCGTCTGCTGGCTTTCCTGAGACTGGGCCACCAGAGGCTCTGGCGGGAGGCCGGAGGCAGG